CAGGAAACCCACAGGAAACACACGGAACACACAGAACACACAGGAAACACACAGGAAACACACACGGAACACACAGGAAATCCACAGGAAACACACATGGAACACACAGGAAACCCACAGGAAACACACATGGAACACACAGGAAACACACAGGAAACACACGGAACACACAGGAAACACACACAGAACACACAGGAAACACACAGGAAACACACACGAACACACAGGAAATCCACAGGAAACACACATGGAACACACAGGAAACCCACAGGAAACACACATGGAACACACATGGAACACACAGGAAACCCACAGGAAACACACGGAACACACAGGAAACACACACAGAACACACAGGAAACACACAGGAAACACACATGGAACACACAGGAAACCCACAGGAAACCCACAGGAAACACACATGGAAAACACAGGAAACACACAGGAAACACACAGGAAACACACACAGGAAACCCACAGGAAACACACAGGGAACACACACAGAACACACAGGAAACACACAGGAAACACACATGGAACACACAGGAAACACACAGAATACACAGGAAACACACACAGAATACACAGGAAACACACAGGAAACCCACAGGAAACACACGGAACACACAGGAAACACACACAGAACACACAGGAAACACACAGGAAACACACACAGAACACACAGGAAACCCACAGGAAACACACAGAAAACACACATGGAAAACACAGGAAACACTAGGGGTGCGCCAAAATATCGATATGGCGATATCTCGCGATATTTACCCCCGCGATCGATTCTCGATGTGCTCTTGCCAAGGATCGATCTTAAAAGCCATTGTAAAATGCTCTATTAGTATCCATTACATTTTGCCTTGATGAGACCCTTCTCCAGAAGTAGATAGGGGGCGCGCGTTGCGAGTTTGGCTGTTTTGAGCGTAAAAAAGGCGCAGGCTACACTTGAAAATGGCAGAGTCAAGCGAGGTCAGCCGAAGCGAGAGCAGAAAATTAAAAGACGCTCCAGCAACATTTAAATCCAAAGTGTGGACTCACTTTGGATTTTATAGCAGTGCGGACGGGGCAAAGATAGAAAAGGACTACGCAATATGTAAGAACTGCTTTGCAAAAGTCCACTACACGGGAAACACGACGAACATGCACAGCCACCTGTCGCGGCATCACCCGGAACTCTGTGAGAAAGCCGCGCATGGTGCTGGGTCAAAGTCGACACCCCCCCGGCGTAAACACCTTTTTCCAGGCAAAGTTACCACCTTCTTCTGCTAGGGCAAAGTCAATCACAAATGGGATCGCTGTTTACATGTGTAAAAGGTTGGTTCTGAAAAATGTCTATTTTTGGATGCACTTTAAGTTGGGTACAGTTTAGATGCACTTTATCCCTGATATTTTTATTTATTTTATTTTTTATTTGAAAGCAGTAGCCCAAAGGTTTATGTTTCTTGCACTTAATAGTGTCACTGTTCATATTTATGAAGGACAATCAGTATTGTTTACAGTTGCACTGAATCTGTCCTCAGCCTCACAACTATTTTGCACCCAAATGGTGTCACCAGTTGTCAAAGACTACTGATTGCAGCAATTTTACACTAAAATAGTGTCTGACTGTTTTGTTGCAACTGATAAGACACAAGTTGTATTTGTTATTGTGTTTTATCCAAAAAATAAATAAATGGAAAATCATTTTACTAATTAAAAAAATCTTTTTATTTCTTAAAACATGATATATTGTGAGTTATTACTGATAATATATCGATTATCGCAGTATCGCCATATCGTGATATTATCGGTATCGTGAACAATGTATTGCGTATTGTATCGTATCGGGAAGTAGCCAGTGATTCCCAGCCCTAGGAAACACACAGGAAACACACATGGAACACACAGGAAACACACATGGAACACACAGGAAACCCACAGGAAACACAGGAAACACACAAGGAATACACAGGAAACCCACAGGAAACACAGGAAACACAGGAAACACACATGGAACACACAGGAAAGACACAGGAAACACACAGGAAACATACAGGAAACGTACAGGAAACACATGGAACACACAGGAAACACACATGGAACACACATGGAACACACAGGAAACATACAGGAAACACACACGGGACACACAGGAAACCCACAGGAAATACACAGGAAACACACGACATACAGACAAAACCACAGGAAACACACACGGAACACACAGGAAATACACAGGAAACACACGACATACAGACAAAACACACAGGAAACACAAACGAAACCCACAGGAAACCCACACGAAACACACAGGAAACACACACGGAACACACAGGAAACACACACGGAACACACAGGAAACACACAGGAAACACACAGGAAACACACACAGAAACACAGAGGAAACACACAGGAAACACACAGGAAACACACGGAACACACAGGAAACACACAGGAAACCCACAGGAAACACACAGGAAACCCACAGGAAACACACAGGAAACCCACAGGAAACACACAGGAAACCCACAGGAAACACACAGGAAACCCACAGGAAACACACACAGAACACACAGGAAACACACAGGAAACACACACGGAACACACAGGAAACCCACAGGAAACACACAGGAAACACACAGGAAACCCACAGGAAACACACAGGAACCCACAGGAAACACACAGGAAACCCACAGGAAACACACAGGAAACCACAGGAAACACACACAGAACACACAGGAAACACACAGGAAACACACACGGAACACACAGGAAACCACAGGAAACACACAGGAAACACACATGGAACACACAGGAAACACACAGGAAACACGCAGGAAACCCACAGGAAACACACGGAACACACAGGAAACCCACAGGGAACACACACAGAACACACATGGAACACACATGGAATACACATGGAAACACACAGGAAACACACACGGAACACACAGGAAACCCACAGGAAATACACAGGAAACATACAGGAAACACACACAGAACACACAGGAAACACACAGGAAACCCACAGGAAATACACACGAAACCCACAGGAAACACACACAGAACACACAGGAAACACACAGGAAATACACACGAAACCCACAGGAAATACACAGGAAACACACGACATACACACAAAACCCACAGGAAACACACAGGAAACACACACGAAACCCACAGGAAATACACAGGAAACACACAGGAAACACACACGGAACACACATGGAACACACAGGAAACACACACGGAACACACAGGAAACCCACAGGAAACACACAGGAAATACACACGAAACCCACAGGAAACCCACACGGAACACACAGGAAATACACACGAAACCCACAGGAAACCCACACGGAACACACAGGAAACACACAGGAAACAGACAGGAACACACACTGAACACGCACTGAAAACGCTCTGAACACATGTCCATAAGACATTCCATGGACACACACTCTGGACAAAAACTGTGGACACACACTCTGCTCATCAGCCCTGTGAAGGCCTCATCGACACCTCAACAAACTGCTCTTCATACCAGCGGGACTTCGATCTTCAACCAGAGGAACTGGATAAATGTAGTGAATGTTCTGATCCAATCTGACCTCAGACCTGCTCCCGATCATAATCACACACTGTTCACTGATTGGCCGGAGGAGAACTGAGGCCGAGTCTGGGTTCTGCAGAGGGTTTCTCCGTTCTGTCCCTGATGAGTTCTGGTTCCTTCACTGTCGCATTGGCCTTTGGTTTGCTTATTTGGGGACATTCATTATTCAACAGTATTATTGTTCTGCCTAACTTCTTCAGGTGGACGATGACGCAATTTTCTTCTAGAAACAATCTGTGTTGTATTATTTTCATGTTATCACTGTGAAGCTGCTTTGATACAATCTGTATTGTAAAAAGCGCTGTATAAATAAAGGTGACTTGACTTGACTTGAACACACACTCTCTGAACACACACGTCCATAACAACTCACACGCTCTGAACACACACGCTAAACAGAGTCAGGCTCATCTGTACCCTACTGGCCAATCACACATCAATATATCATTAGCATACTAATGACATGTCATAATAAACCAGAAAGCCAGAATATTTAAACACATGCACACACACGATCACATTACACACGGTGGTTTTTGCAAGGACATTTTTAGATTTTTGAGCCCAATTGCAAGAGAACGCCTTATTGTTATGAGTAAAGGGGTTCCTGAACTGAAGCGTTTATTAGAAAAGGGCAGATAAAGACAAGCCTGCCCTGTACAGACACATCCTTGATCCAAATTATACACACTGTCATCATCATCCTCTCTTTGTGTAAAAAAATTGTCTCGGTGTGTGTGTGTGTGTGTGTGTGTGTGTGTGTGTTCTGCGGGTTGTCTCAGTGAGGTCGTATATCGCACCCCAGTGGAGGAGCCGCGCGCGCTCACATCATCCTCGCTACACATGAACTCATGAACCCACCGTCAAATCCCACACAGAACAATCTTCTGATCTCAGATCATTTACATGAACATAATACAGGCAGGACGAGCGCGACAACACAGCGACCGTCAACGCCACACACAACTTACTTCGAGTGTGTGTGTGTGTGTGTGTCACACGGAACAGTCTGGAGATTGTGAAGGGAAACATTGTGTTGTTTCTCTCGAGACTACATAAATGATCATGTTTTAAATGTGAGTCGAGACTCATGAGCGATCGATGCTCTGATCAGCAGAATCTGTTCTTCTGTAACCTTCATCATTACTGCAGAAACAATTTATAATATCAAACCAGACCTGATCCGAAACAAGAGATCACACGCACACGCACACACCGCTGGAAAACACGGGTCCGCGTTTGTATCGGAGATCAGACTGATGCTCTTCAGCAGCTCATGACTGTAACATTTGACACATCGTCATGATTCTGATCAGAGACAACCGAACGAACGAACGAACGAACACACACACACACACACACACACACACACACACACACATCAGCTCTTTACCTTCGGAATTCTCTCCCGCGTTTTCGTCTCTCCTTTACTCAAACTCCTGCGTTTTTCTCCTGAATCTCCTGAATAATGTCCAGTATCCGTCAGAGCGCAACGCGTCTCAACTCCGCGCGTCTTCCGATGGTGCTGAGCGCCGCGTCACCTGCGTCCTCACATCAGCAACGCGACCCGCCTACAGAGACACGCCCCGCGCCTGCAGTCAGAGCAACGCGACGCGCACAGATGCTGTGGATTGAAACAGGGGAACGCGACTGATGTTCCCCTCGCGACACGCGACGCGTTCAGATCCTCCGCATATAGTCCAAAGTGAGCGCGCGCGTCACTGAACCATCATCACCACTGGAGAAAACACCAGTATAAAGAGTAGCTCTCTTCAGCACGCAGAACTAATGATCAACACTGCCACATAAACATTAATATGATGGTGCATGATGTGCACGAGGATTCACACCGTTCATACAGTTATACAGTTATATTAATATACAGTTATATTAAAGCGATCGCTCACGAGAGGTTCTCTCGTACTGGTAAAATCTTCACTAGGGGAAAACCTGTTTTCCGCGAGATATTAAAGCCAAAAGTTATCCTTAACCCTCTCTAAAGTGTGTTTGGGGTCCTTGAGATGTTCTGACATGCCCATGTCCTGACATTTGCGCTTTTTTCAGTTGCTTATACATATTAATGGCACAGGTGAAATTGCACTCCAGTTAGCACAAACAGGGCTACCATAATATATGAGCAACATATACATGTTTGTATTTTTGAGAGAATATTGTTTATGCATGGTTATTGAAAAAAATGAATATTAAAGTTTCTGAAATAAGGCCACAAAACACATACAAAATATGTGTCCACAAGTCTTTTGACGAATGGATGTTGTCGGAGTTTTTGCTTTAAAATGATCTGAAAATCATCCAGCCTAACCCTTCACATAAAACAATAGGTTGTTTAACCCCCCTCATGAATAATTAGGTATACAGTGTATACAGTGGCAGGAGGTGGCAGGCCAACAACTTGATTGCATATGTTTTATTTTTATTTATTTATTTGTTTATGTATGCATGTATGTATTATGATTGTTTTAAATGTTTGGTGCTGCAGCGGCTGTACTCGTGAGCCCAAATTTCCCATCGTTATACCTAACCTATATGCCTATATGATATATATATATATATATATATATATATATATATAAATGAAAGTCTAAAGCACATTTTTAGTCATACCTGGAAACAAATCCTGTGATATATGGGCCATTCTATAGAATTGGTTCAAAGATAGAGTTGGAAACATCTTGAAAGTCAATTGTCTTTTTCCATAAATCTCTTATAAATTATTATTTTTTAGTAGGCCAATACTTTTTATCAAACATATTTCAAAGTTAAGGATTCATTATTTTGATATAGCCTAGCTTGCATTGGAACAAACAATATAACAGGTGATTAGTTTATTTTTGACAAAATATACTATACATTTAACATATGAGCAGAAACGTCTCTGGTTTCGCATGTAACCTTAGTTCCCTAAAGGGAACGAGACGCTGCGTGTAACCGCTATGGGAACGCCCCTGCGTGAGTGTGTCATGAAGCACATATGAAATCAGTCCAATGGCGAGACAGAACGTCATAGGCGGGGTGACGTATCGACCAGGAAACTATAAAGCACCCCCAAAAAACACAAGCGCAACAGCTTCTGATAAGACTGAAGCAAGCGCTCACGGGCATGCTGGGAGTATGGCAAGGACGCGCAGCGTCTCGTTCCCTTCAGGTAACTAAGGTTACATGAGTAACCAGAGACGTTCCCATTCAGGGAACTTCGAGCTGTGTGTAAACGCTATGGGAACGCTAATACCAACGCCGGCATGCGAGCAGGTGTCCGTTGTATGAAGTCAGAGCGCACATTCCGACGAAAGCACCTGCGCCCCCGGAGTGGAGCTAAAGTCAAGATGGTAAAATTTTACAAATGTGTGCGGTGATGGCCATCCTGCCGCATCACAAATGTCATTAATAGGAACTCCTGACAAAAACGCCTTCGAGGCGGCCATACCCCTGGTTGAATGAGCCCGGACAGCCAAAGGAGACGGCTGACCGGAAGACTCATATGCAAGTGAGATGGCCTCGACCACCCACTTACTCAACCTCTGCTTAGATGCGGGACAACCTTTCTTAGGAGGTCCAAAACAGACAAATAACTGTTCTGATTTCCTCCACAGGGCAGCTCTGTGGACGTAAGCGTCTAAAGCCCTCACAGGGCAAAGCAGATTTAGTTTCTCTTGGTCTGACGTGAGAAATGGAGGAGGACAGAAAGCCTGCAGCACAATAGGCCTGACAACATTAGTTGGAACCTTAGGAACATATCCCGGTCTAGGGAGGAGGAAAGCCTTCGGCATACCGGGAGCAAACTCCAGACAGGAGGGAGAAACCGACAAAGCTTGAATATCTCCTATTCTCTTTAAGGAGGAAGAAAGATGCCGTATCAGGAGAAAGATGGCTCGCCAAAACTTCCTCCATCCTCGGCATCGCCCCATAACCGTGACTTTTTGACCCAGCAATATTGGAATACATAGATGTCTGATGTGTGAAAATGATCGCTGATACTGGTCTATTCCACGATCTCGACACCTCAGTGTGTAGATCGGGAAAGAAAGGCAAACACCGGCGTGGAGGTAAAGAGTGAGATGGTAAATATCTTTCATCCAGCTTGCTCTTAATTCTAGACTCTTGTCTCTCTACTGGCCACTCAATGCTTAATTTTTGGACCGCACGAGTCAAAACCTCCATCAGCTCTTCTCTAGCAGGAGACTGAGGTGACGAATCCCCAGTCTCTACAGGATCCACACTTTCAAGATCCAGTACCTCGGAACTGGATAGCTGAAGTGATGGAGCCTCATCCCGGGCGGGAGAAACCCCCAAACCCAGGTCTGAGGCGCTGGATCTATCAGGTAAGGGCAGAGAAAAGGCAGAGCCCGTCTCCATCCCCGCTGAAAGATCCATTTGCGATCCCCGGGATTGAAGCGGGGAGCGCGAAACGAGCCACTCTCCTCAAAGAGGGCACGGAAACGGGAGCGGAGCGTTTTCATGGGCAAACGCTCGCAATGCTCACAGCCAGATCCCTCGAGAGCTGACTGGGCATGCTGCACTCCCATACAAACAACACACAGATCGTGTGTATCCCCACCCGTGATGTAGCGTGGGCACGGATGGAACAAAAGCTTATTTAATAAATTATTAAATATAATTAAAAAAATAAATTATAATCTATCCAAAACTAGTCAACGAAATGTTGTCGTAATAGACACTTTTCTATATCGCGATTAGAACAAATCTCAGTAGGCTTAGCAATATAGTTATAGTGGATGTGTTCATGTAAAAATAATGTTTACTCATGTTAGGAGCGAGAGTGAATGAACACACAGATGCGATGAATATCTGTAAACAACATCACGCACGCGTCTGTGCCATTCATTCATTAGTTTACAGACAGTATTCAGAGCTCATAACGCATTATAGTCCTTCACGTCTATGATCTTTGATGGTCGCTGTGTTGTCGCGCTCCGGTATTGTGTTCATGTAAATGATCTGAAATCAGTTATGTGTGATTGTGTGAACACACAGCTCAAATGGTCTGTTGTGTTTCGGTGTTTTCTGTAGAATGTTCCAGCTTTATTGATCTGACTGACCCATCTGTGGCTCTCGGACTGTAAATTCAGTGCGACTCCAATACTCTGTTATCGCAGCACTAAATGTTTATGTTCATCTTGTAGATATACAGGTAAAACTACTGAAACATCCTGCAGATCTAAATCTACTGGCTGACAGAAGCAGCGAGACGAGTGTGTGTGTGATTGGTGGAAAACAGTTTTATGGTCTCAGAGAGGCGTTCTCAAACACAATGGTTTTAAAACACGAAACCTGTTTAAACTGTTAATGTCACTTTCAGGCAGAAGATTGAGTTACAAACATTGCAGCTTTTTCTTATTTTTTACGAAATAATGATGATGTCTAATGATGAGATATGAATTTCAGAAATCACCCTCGAACACAACATTGGGTAATTCTTTATTTTGATGGTCTCTTTTGAACACTGTGGACTGTGAGTAAGTTTGCATCTACATGTCAGCTAGCTCTCATTAGAGTATTAGTAGACTCTGCTTATTTCTGCTAATGATCCTCCAACAGACATTATACTGAATATACGTGACTCTAAAAGTACATGCCAACTTATTCTAACCCTAACCCCAGCAGTCTGCTAATACTCTACTGAGAGTTATGGAGGTCCAGCTTCACTTATAGACAGGAGAATGTGTAAAAAGGACCATCAAAATAAAGTGAAACCCAACATTCAAACTTATATCCGCGGAAACGAATAATCCCAGCGCCGCTTGCGTCCGGTGGCGTGTATAGAGCCACGTAACTTCAAACTCCCGCTCTGGAATCCCACAATCCCGCAGGCTTGGACACGCATATAGCGCTTCACACGTTTGCTGATGATCTATCCTCATCTCTCTCCTGATGCGAGAACACATGAGTGATGTATGAGACGGACCCACATCTCTTCTCTTCTCTAACTGGCCTGAATTATTGACCACTGATTAAAAATATATAGAAGCGGTACTTCCCACTGTAAATGCACTAATAAAAAAAGTGGAAGAGTATTACTAAAGAGAAATACTTGAGTTGCCATAAGCTCTGTGAGGAATGCATTTGCAGTGGTAGTAATTTATGAATAATAGATTTGTAATAATTTGGTATTTATTATAGCACAGGATGACTCTTCTGTACTACTACACAGAATATAGGCTAATATCCAAATATACTGTACATGCCATTGGGGAAGATGTTAGATCTGTGATTTGAAGAATGCGGTTTCGTACCAAATATGCTTATGATATAATAATAATAATAACAATTTCACAATTCTAAAAATCTGCTTGTGTGTTTCTGCCAGTTGTCGCACTGGTGTTGGTTTCAGTGGTGTATCCTGCAGGGTACATCATAACACTAGTCGGAGACCCGTGACCTTCATCACGAGGGAGCGTTTCAATCATTCACTCAACCCGTTCCTAACCCTAACCCTAACCCATTCCTTTAAAACACAGATTCACCAGAGAAACGGGTTTGTTATTCATTTGGTTTTTCTACAACAGATGAAATAGAATAGAACTAAACATGAATGAGATCAGTGTGTCAGTATGGGTCTGTTAGTGTGGTTGACACAGCTGACATTAGTTCACGCATTCATGACCTCGAGACTAGATTACTGTAATGCTTTATTAGCTGGTTGTCCTGCATC